ACTTGTCTGCACTCCGTGTTTGATGAGATATGCTTGACAGAAGTGGAAAAAAAAAGTTTGTAATAGCTTTCCTAACTCCCTTTACTGCTGTTTAAGTGGAATAAGAAACCAACTGTAGAATATGCTGAAAAAGAGCAAGGGTTTAGTCTTGCTGGGTAATGAACACAATCGCCAGGATCCAGCTGCTAGAGCCATTGATACGAGTGCCAAAACCCTCCGCTTGCATATCTTAAAAAAATAACCTAGCCTCATAAAAATAATCTAAGGGGTTAATCTTCAAGGTTGCTTCCCCCAGCATTGCTAGAGAGCAAAAGTTATCAACACCCAAATACAGCTTCTCCTGTTAATGGTGTCGTATGATTTGCTGATAAAAAGCAGATCACGTCTGGAAAAAAAAAAAGCACTGTCGGTCATAAGGATTCTGTCACAAACTTTCTATTTTTCCCTTGGCACATCACCAATTAGACCTACTTCTGTAGTCTGCTACCACCAGTATAAAAAAAAAGCATAATGGGTTTATAATTTGCCACCGAATCCCATAGCAACTGTACGTCACTTTAGATGTAAATTACAGACAATTCTTTCCCATGCAATTTGAAAACTATAGAGATGAATCTATAATTTGAGCAGATCCAAATGGTATATGGTTGAGAGAAAAAGCTACCCTAAATAATTGAAAGGAAACTGCCACAGGCCAAAACATTCCTCATGCACATGTCTTTGTCCCCTTCCTTCAAATGGGAGGTGCCACATTCAGGTCAACATTAAGAACATTTAGCAGGAGTTGAGCAGTTCAGTATGTTCTGCATATCCTGTCCCATTTTTGCTGATTGCGAGGAAGATGTACGTGTACAATGAGCTTCCTCTCCAGCCAGCCTCCTCTGATTCATTTAGTCATGTCACCGACTCATGTTCCCGATGTCGTAATAGCTTCAATTTTGACGGACTACAGCATCAGTGAATTAATAGGACAGGAAAAAACAGGTTACAGGAAAGGAGGAATGATGCAAAAAGCTTTAAGATAATTCAATGAATTTTGATTCGAAAGCCGGATTGTTCTCCTCCTCCTGACACCTGCAAGCAGCTTTCAATTCCCAAGTCAGCATGAATACGCATTACCCTAAAGACCCTGTAATGACAGCAGGAGCCTTCATTTTGTATTTCGTGCTTTAAACGCAGCAAGATGAAGGCATCTATAACAACCCGCTCTAAAAATCAAAGTCTGAATAAGTTCTTTCAATAAGCGGTGACTACAAGGGGCCGATTTAACCCCAACCTTTGAGAAATAACTTCTGTCACAGTCGGTTTAAGAAGAGCACAGAAAGCACAGGGAAGATGACTTGGGAAGCCACGTCTGCCAGACCACAGCTCCAAAATTCAGTTCAGCTAGTAGAGCACAGGGGCAATGTGCTTTGGTTATCTCAGCTTAGCCCCCAATAAATATTTGTGCACCTGCCAAAGTTCACCAGTGAATCAACCGGTGGCTTCAGTTCAAAATACTCCGTGTAACAGGGACAGAGAGGTACAAGGGGAGCAGGAGGCACTAGTCGGCTGCTGCGTCACGCACTGACCAAAACAGGGATGCTACGACCTTCTTTACAACCTCCTAAAATCACGAGGCTACCATGCAAGCCAGACCCAGGGCTGGCAGCTGAGTTGAGCCCGGCCTCCATCAGCTACATTAAGCCAACACATAAGCTACTAATAATAGAGAAAGGTGTGCAACTGCAGTCACATTGCTTGTTATCAAAAGATGAACCATCACACAAGCTCACTAGTATCGCTCCTCAAGCCACAAAGGGCTTTTAAATAAATCTGTGAAAGTTGGGAAATTCCCACGTAAGGGTTCCAGGAACAGCCCTACCAGTGCTTACATGTGGTCAGCACCTACATCACAACAGCATGAGGAGAGGCACCTACTGCCAAGTGACATTCGGGTCTGCCATTTTAAATCGTGTGTTAAGATTTCTGACTTACCCAGAAACCCCCATGATGTTGCTAAAAAAACGGGTGTGAAAAGCAAAGGATGAATGCCATGGACAGAGACATAGCTAGGTGGATGAAGCAAGGAGAGATACAACATCTTGTCATCTAGTGTGGAGGACGAGGTCCAGGATAAAGAATGAAAAACAAAGCAGAAGCATGAAGAGTTCTCTTGTGCCTTGACATGGGCAGCAGGGGAGCTGGAGGCAGACCAGAAGAGATGGCGAAAAGTCATGCCCTGTCTTTTTTTTTTTTTTGGAGGGGAGGTGAGAAGGCCTAAACAGAGCCTGTACACACACCCAAAGGGAACGCAGAAAACTGCAAGCTAATACAGAATTACACTCCTTGGAGAACCAAGAGTTGTTTTAGGCTAACACACCAGACCAGCTCCATTTCATCAGTGGACAAATTGACTTGGGACACATTTTCCACCGCTCAGCCCTCAGCTGCAGAGCTCAGCAGTCAGCACTCAAGGGTTTCACAACTGTGTGGAAGCAGTTTCAGGGGCAGCAAGTTTCACAAGGAGAAGATGGGCAACGTCTTAAAGTCTCCCCTCTGAAGCTGGTGGAGTTTTTTAAGACTTATTTCTTTCAGGTGAGCGTACCCCTCTGCCACTGGAGAAAGAAATAAACTTTTATAGCCTGCAAGGAGCCGGCAGCCCTGTGATCTGGACCTCTTCAGCAGCAGCCCCACGTTTTCAGAATCTGATGGAGAAACAGCTTGCTGAAACAGAGTTGGGCATCGATATGCACACCCACGACCATTTTCTTCACCAGGACACAGACAATTTAGCAGAGACCCAAGCGGGAGACACTCAAGAAGACAAATATCTGTTTCTCCATAGTCCCACTGCTTGATCCACACATGGTGCAGCTCCACACCAAGAACGCAACTGCTCTGGCACAAGGGACACTAAAAACAAATGGCAGCTTGCCCGGCTGGGTGATCATTTTTGGATTATGTAATCCCAATACATTATTATTAGACCAAGAACAAACTCAAGCAAGCAACTGAAGACATTACCCTGGCAAAGAGACAGAGACTTGTCGCAGAAATTGCACCAACGTGCTACCCCGGTGCATAAAACAGGTCAGACTGCACACATGTTGGACTTCAGGTAACACAAACAGCAGTATCGGATTCCAGGCCATTATACATATTAGACAACACTGTCGTCAGTTATACCACATTTAAAACCAAACCGAGCAGAAGAAGCCTGAGCAAATTTTTTCCATTTACCTACTGCAGACCAAAATTAAATCAGAGCCTAGACTGGACAAACACACGCTCCGAAGGTGTGTTATAAAGTCGTTTCTTGGCATGGCCATAGCCCAGCGTTTCAGAGGAAGCAGAGACGTTCAACAAGCTGGAGAAACTGTTTATAGAACAAATGCAGAATGAGCATATGTGTTTAATAGCCCACTAATTGTTGCGTTATTCACTATCCAAACAAGTGAGCTCTTCTGCCCTTATCCTTTCCTGCCCATTTAATCACCAGTAGCCTTTGACTATTTCTCTTTTGGGTGGCGGAGAAGGAAGCAAAGTTCATTAGTGGCCATTGGCCACCAAACAATCTAGAGACCAGACTTCATTTAGAAAATAAACACCACTATTCATGTGTGACACAGACTCAGAATAGCTTCCCAAAATATTTAACACAGCTGCCTGTAGTCTTCCTACTCTCCCTCCCCCAAAAGAAAAGGCTTTCCTAATATATAGGAAAGCATTTCTTTGGGTTTTTTTTTTCTTTTTTAGAGGAAAAAAGCTAATAACTCAAGGTATCCAAGGCACTTATTGCTACTGACTTCTCATAATGCTGATAAACACTCATTAAAATGTAAGTTGATAAACCCTGGTACAGTAATTACCTTCGTCCTCATACAGAAATTGCCCAATTCAGTGATGTGATGTAACCAACACCCTAAATTAAAAATAGTGTTGTGACAACATATGGTTTATCCTACAGAAGCTGGCAGGCAGGACGCTCCTAATGACAAACGGGTTAGGTTCCCAGCTTCCCCCAGCTCCCTGGCAAGGTGAGGAGACAGATACGCTCTTCGCAGGATCACAGGCAGAAAGAAAAAAAAATAAAATTACAATAAAAAGGAGCAGCTTTTAATCCCTCGCCAGTCCATCCCCACGACAGATGCCAAGTATTGCCATTATTCTTTATTTACATGACTAATAAGCTCTCTGGATGCATTTCAAGGAAATAGCTCGGAAAAGACAATCTGGAAATTTCAAAATACAGCCCCAGCTTGAAGCCACCCCCCACACCACCACCCCCACCCCGGGGAGCAGAGCACCGGGCTGGGGACACACACACACAACCGGGCAGTCTGGGGAGGGTTGTGGAGAGGAAGGGGACACCCCCCCCTCCCCCAAATCCGGGATGCCAAAACCGGGGTTGAACATCCCCCCCCCCCTTGACACGTCCCCGGGGGGAGACCGGCCCCCCCCGGCCATGGAAACTCAC